ATGCAATAACCTTAAAAAAACCCTCTTATGGCTATTTGTTTGATCCAAATTTTGAAATATACACTCTTTTCATTCTAATGAACAATCACAAAAAAAGAAAAAATTGAAAACACAACTTTGCAAGTATTTTTTTAGCCCAATTAATATAAACCGTTCATTTTGGTAAGATGCTTAGATCTAGGCCTTAGAAGAATTTTTTCATTTCCAATTTTTTTGGATGGCTTTATTATCATTAGATGAAAAATGTTAAAAAAGAAAAAAATGATTTTGAGTTTATAAAGGCTAAGATCTTGAAATTCACAAAATGAATGGTCTGGATTCATTTTTGGAGGGGACTCATTTTGACCATATCTAGGCTTCAAATTAAATATTTTTTTTTTGGGGGGATTGATTATTGAGATGAAGAGAGTGTGTGTGCAAAATTTGAGGCCATACATATACCACAAACATGGTTTTCTAGAAGTGTCGTTGCATTATACTATGATACAACCGTTGCATTGGATCATTGCTCATATATATATATATATACATACAGCAGTTTAAACCAATATCCACCTGAAGGTGTAATGTCCGGAAAATAAAAATTGACAGCCAACCTGATAAATTTGGAGCATACCATGTTTCTTATTATATATATTGAGGATCTATTCAATGTGCCCAGATAGGATTCCAGTATTTCAAATTAAATTTCAATATTTCGAGTGTTTATAATCGATGATTCAAGCCTGTGAGTGTCGAAATGTCAGGTAACAAGACAGTGTGGTCGATTGCAAATAGTCTTTCTTTATCCAAACTCCAAAGTTCGAAAAAGTGGTTTTTCCATGCACACTAACCAGCATGCATGGCCAAGTTGTTTGATGGTGACAAACCACCTTGCTGTGCACACAGATCAGTTAACTAATCCAATTTTATGTATTCTTCTTAGCAAGCGAAATGTCCGACATGATGACCATTGCTGTAACTGTTTCTTTTAACTTGTCTAGAACTCGAAAACCTAGTTTAGGATAAAATGTGCATTGAAAATTTGGACTTTGCAATTGAGCTCCAACCATTGAACTTGAGCCAAACTGGTGTTAACCGAGTCTGGAATTATTGTTTCCAAATTGTCTTCTATCATGATGAACTTCAACCATGGGAATGGGTTTTCAAAAGTGTTTCAAAAACACCACCCCGGTGACTGATTCGGTCACTATACAAACTGAATCTACTAGTGAGAAAATATACGAGGACTTATGAGGGTATGACCCTTAATAGAGTTGAATGACAGACCAAGGTCTATGTAGCCGACCCCAATTAGTTGGAAAAAAGGATTTGACGATGATGACAAACTGAGTCTTCGTGCCAAGTCAAGAACTTAACATGGAAAAACATGGCAAGTTTGTCAAAGTTTTACATGGAAACTTTTAAAAACAAATTGTTATAGGGGGAAACAACCTAGCTCGTTACTTGAGTTAAACCACAATTCTACAACATTGGCAGAGACTTATGTGTCAAATTGAAGTAGAAACTTGTAAATAAAGAACACACATCCTGAGTTTTTTCGTTTGTAAAACTCGGCAATGAACTAGTCAAGTTGATGTAGACGAATTTTTCCAACTCAAAACTTGTTTTTATTCACTGGTTTTGAGAACTGCTCTTATTTTTTCATGAGTTTGGATAAAAACTCAAATTAATTGGCCTTTTGCAGCACTCCTCATGGAACGTACGAATTTTAGTGGTAGGGCTCATTAGAAAAACTATTTTTTCCATGATTAAAATTTTCTAGTTTATTTTCATTTCGGGTTCATTAGAAAGACTGTTTTTTGGAAATAGCATTTCTAGTCCCCGAAAGCTTGACAAGGATGCACCTTTATAGAAGTGAAAATTGGGAGATGTCACAGGGTGCCTATGCATCAACACGGATCAAGAGACTTGCTTTTTCTCCTTTACAATATGGGTTAAAGTTGTGATGGGGAGCCAAATGAGCACTTAATTTGTAATTCTTCACGGTTATACACAAGAGTAAACGTACTCAGATACCTCAAGAATGACTTTAAACCCAAAAATTTATTTAAAGCAGGAGAAGCTCCACCAAATGGACTACACCCTAAGGAAAAAGATAGAAGCCACAATCTGTAACGGGTGTGAGGTTCCAATTATGAATTTTTTGCAACATTAAAAATGGAATGCTTATGATTTCGTTTTCAGTATGTGGTAATAATTGCTCAAAAATCATTACAAATATTGAAAAGAAACCCACAAGTTGCAGAAGATATCGAAGAGCTTGCAATAACAACAAACACTCACTACATTGTGATCTGTGAATATTCACCTATTAATAAATGTATTAAACATTTAAAAATATTAAGGTGTGGATGAAAAGAAAGGAACACAGCACCAGAAAACAGACTTAACACCCCAAAAAAGGAAAAAGAATGAACAAATGAGTGAAGTAATGAACCTAGAAGTATAGTAAAAACTAAAAATTCCACACATTAATTAAAACATAAAACAACATCAAAACAATTCACCATCTTCTGCTAAAGTCTACAAAACCCATGAAAGAATACCTTGAGAATACCAAAGAAAAGTTGGGTTTTAAGCTTAAACACCTGACCTGCAACTTATCGAGGTATTGCGGCTGACCAAGCCCTTTCTTGATGGTTCCAGTGAGCTCCAAAAGCCTATCGGCCAGAGTCGATTTCCCATGATCGACATGAGCAATGATCGAGAAGTTCCTGATTCTTTCAGGCGGGAACTGGCTCAAATCTATAACGGTCTCTCTGCTAGAATGGCGAGATTGAGAGCAATAAAAATGGTTTGAAATACGACCACCCAACTTCGAATTTCCTCCAAAATCATGAAATATGGGGCCAAATACAGAGGACCCAGAAAGTAAAACCAGCAACTTTGGTCTAAGGGTCCTTAAAGCTGGACGAAAGGAAGCCATTAGAGAACCTTGAGAGAGATCAGCCAGGACTGAACATGGGTTTGTGTATATAAAGAGCTCTATGCATTTTGGGTTGTGTATCGTTAAAGCCTAGAGGGCTTACTATTAGAGGAGTTAATTGATCGAAGAGGGTTTTTCTCAGGCCTGCGCACTAGGGGAGAGGATGCTTAAGAGGAAATAGAATTGAACTTGCTTTGAGGAAATGGAATGGAACTTAGGAAAATAACGGGTTGGATCGGTCGGATCACACCGATTTGTGTAGGACGCATATCACCATTAAATTTGGTAGATGACCATTAAATTTGGCACCGATATGTATGTAGAAAAGTCAAGCCCGATATCTCATGTTATAACTTTATAGAGATCTATACCAAATTTAATAGATCTTTTGAGGTCCTGCACATATGGGTATGGGCGGGTCTCATAAAATCTATACTCTTAAATATTATGTTATAAATTGTTTTTTGTATGTTAAAAATATACATTTATATAAGTGTGAGGCTCTAAACAATCAAATTAAGACGCATTTCAAAAAATCTTTAAAAAAAATTGTTGTTTCAAAGCTGAAAAACCCTCAATTCAATCATCTCAACCTCAAGATATATGAACATGATAAATAAAAGTTTTCAAGTTTTGAAAATAGTGCATGTGTTATTTAAACCCTCAAATTTTCAAGATTTTCAAGTGTTCATAGATCTACTTGATCTATACTATTTTAAATTTTTATTAATAGAGATGAAAATAAGTTTTCAAATACTATTTAAAGGTGTGCCATATTTTGATTGTTTAAAGCATTGGCCTCATACAAACAACACCCTTATTTATTGGGTGCGATTTATATAAACCGCGGTTCTAAACAATCAAAGTAAAGTGCACCTTCAAATAATGTCAATAAATGCGGTTTCTATACTGGAAATCTTTGTGATAGCCTTAAAAGATATTTTCATCTCTAAATATAAAATTTAAAGTTTCAAAAAAGTGCAAATCGAGCAGATCTATGAAAATCTTGCAAATTGACGGTCCAAAAATGCATTACAAGATGCATTATTTCCAAAACTTGAAATCTTTTTTTTTTTTATATCCATAGAGGACGGGATGATCAATTTGAGGATATTAGGGCATCAAAACAACTTCTTCTAGTGAACTTTTTGAGGTATATCCTAATTTGATTGCTTAGAGTCTTGCACTTATATAACCATTTCCTTATTTAAATATTATAACTAAAATATATTGTTATAATTTATTTAAAGGTGTGGTTTCTATAAGGTTGCAACCTTAAATAATCCAATTAAGACGCACCTTAAAATTTTATCATAACATGTAATTTTGTTGTAAAAGGTTATTAGAATTATCTTAAATTTTATTTTCATACCTAATGAGAAAATTTTAAATTTTAAAAATGGCTAAACTCAAGTAGATCTATAAATATATGAAAATCTTGAAAGTAGATGGTCTAGATAATGTGTTGCAAGATGCGCTATTTCTAGGACTCAAAAACTTTTTTTTTCATATTCATACATCTCAATGCCGAGATGATTGATTAGTGGGTTTTTTCAACATTCAAACAACATTTCCGATAGATTTTTAAGGTGCATCTGTGAATTTTGAGGTGCATCTGTGAATCTACCTAATGTCTATTCTTCAGATCCCTACTTCGGTGACAAAAAAGATTTAGTCTATGATGAGGAACTTCTTTTGGGGATCTTCCGTAGATAAGAAAAAGTTTCACCTTCTGTGATGGGATAGGGTCTGCACACCAAAGGAGGAAGGAGGCATTGGCATCAGAAAGATCAAGTTGGTTAATTATGCTCTGCTCTGCAAATGGTGGTGAAGGAGTCTAACTCTCAAAAACCATCTCTGGTATCAGGTGCTCATTTCAAAGTATAATGTTAATAAATTCGACACATGGCAAGGGAAAATGAGAGGAACCTCAAGTATGTCAGTTTATTGGGAGGCTATTCAGTTGTGTAAATGACTCATCCATATAGATAATAGATGGTGTCTAGGCATTGGAAGTAATATCTCATTTTCACATCACAAATGGGTAGGGGATTCTCCACTGAAATTAATTTTCCCATTGATGTTTCAAATAGTGGTTAATCAAGATGCATCTATCTTAGCCAATTATGCTCGCCGAGGTGACCAAATAGTATGGAATATAGATCTTCCATATAATAGAATTCCTTATTTGCTCTTCTCTCAACTTTTTGAGCTTCTTAAGATGCTGAAAGATGTTTATATTCCTTTGAATGCAAATGATGAGGTGGCGGATAAGAATAACATTTTTTTCGATTAAATCCATGTATTATTTGCTCCTCCACGATAAGGTAAGATGATCTATGCCTATTATTGCTAGGATTTCGAAATGGCCTCTTCCTTTGAAGGTTCAAGGATTTTTGTGGTTGATGGCCCAAGATTGAGTGCTTACTATTGATAATCTCATTAAGCGTGAAATGATTTTACAAAATATTTGCCTCTTGTGTAAGGCAGATGGGGAGTTAGGTAACTATCTATTCCTACATTGTACATTTGCTAGTCATATTTGGAGATGGTTTTTCGGGAAGTTGGGAGTTGCATTGGTAATGCCCCTCACAGTAGTGGGGATAATAGAGGGCCTCTTGGTTCTACTTCCGAAGCTGGGGGCTATTACTTGGCAAATTGTTAGAGGAGTCATTTTTTGGGAATTTTGGAAAGAAAGGAATAAGAGAGTCTTCAAAGGGGTGACTTTGTCTTGTGAAAAGGTCTTGGATAGAATTCTGCATTGTATTTGGTCTTTTCTTTCCATTACTCCGGGGGGACTGGATATCATTGAATTAGATGTTAGAAGAATTTTAGGTGATATATTCCACTTGAATTTCACCAAATGTAGGCTTAAAGGGAGATGGTTGCCACCGCCATAGGGGGTATATAAATTAATTTTCGATGACAGCTCGATAGGCAACCCGGGTGTATTTGGCTTTGGAGGAGTGATTCGAGATTGAGATGGAAATGTGGTTCTTTTTTATGCAGGTCCTCCTGATGTTAGGACGGCTAACTTCGCTGAACTCTCTGCCTTTTTTTTTGGTTTGCGTACTATTATGGATAGGAAATTGGGGCATGAGTTCATTCTAGAGGGGGATTTGTGATATTGTGGTGCAAGAAGGAACAACTTCTCTCATGGGGACTGAGAATTAAGAAACTCAAGCTCAAAAATATTAATAAATAGAGGAAAAATAATTTTTCTTTTTTTTTTGTTTTGTTTAATTTGGCTATTGTCAAATAGTTTTATTTATTTTTCAACACAAACAAGATACCAAAAGCACAACAAACATGTAATGTGGTAATGTTTTTAAAATAATCTTGGGGCCGAATAAAGATGATCATATATGAAAATCGTTTAAGAGCATATCATCCATTTAGTCCCTCGAGAAAAATTGTACCTAGTCTTTAGGAACCCAAAATGAGAGGGTGTACAACCTCAATCTAGTAACAAACCTTTAAAAAATAAAAATATAGAAAACACTACCAAAAAAATTATGCACTCTATCACAAGTCCTAAGATTGAAGAGTGACGGTCCAATTTCTTGATGATCAGATCGGATTGTCCAATTTCTCGATGCTCAGATCTAAAATTTTGGAAACGCAACGTCTCTTTTCTATTTATTTATATTAAGAAATACTGATCTGGCGGTTCACAAGTGGATTCCAAAAATTTGGGATCGAAAAGCCCTTCTAAAGAGCTATTGTGCTTGCAACAGTAAGAATAGAGCTGATACATCTGTAGTAGTGTTCAAAATAAATATTAGATATTAATAAGATGTAATAGTTTCATAACTAAAATCCGAGTGGAGCCGCGGTAGCGTGGTGGGCTCATAACCCTCGGGTCCCAAGATCGAGTGTTTTTTTATTTTTTCTACTTTCTCTTTCTAGTATTTTTTCTACACTTTTTTTCTCATATATATTTTTTTCGACACTTTCTTTCTCACATATATTTTTTTCAACACTTTCTTTCTCATATATATTTTTTTCTACACTTTATTTTTCTACATTTTCTCTCTCTCATCCTGTAATTTTTTTACAAAACCCACTGGTTCCGGGATCGAAACCTGGCTCTGATACGAAAAAAGCTGGTTTTTTTATTTTTTTTACTTTCTCTTTCTACTTTTTCTGTATTTTTTCTACACTTTCTTTCTCATATATATATTTTTCTACATTTTCTTTCTCATATATATTTTTTTCTACACTTTCTTTCTCATATATATTTTTTTCTACACTTTATTTTTCTACATTTTCTCTCTCATCCTATAATTTTTCTACACTTTCTTTCTCATATCTTTTTCGTACACTATCTTTTCTACATTTTC